GTAGATAAATTTTGTATCAGTATTGAGAGGATATCATATTTGAAAACTTGGCAAACTTTAAATTTATATAGCAAAAACGAACTTAATAGACTAATTTTTTATAAAATTTGACAGGTTATCAATTTTGACGGGATCAGCTTTGGGAGATTCAACAGAATCAGGTATTGCAATTAATTTACTTTATAATCTTATTATTATTTACTTATAGTAAATTTTATAAAATATATTAGCTACAAACGAATCGATGTGTAACTCTGAAATTCTTGAAATTGAAGATGAGTTGAAGAAAATTTTGATTGATAATAAAAATCATTTATCATGGATTCCTTACAATGAATTTAAGGGTATTGAGGTGATAGGTAAAGGTGGATTTGCGACTGTATATTGTGCTAGATGGTATGATGAAGTTCAATATATAAACAGGATTGTTGCACTTAAATCACTCCATGAATCAAACAATCACCATGAAAAATTTATAAGTGAGGTAATCTTTATTAAATATTTTAATTATATTGTTGTGATTTATCATTTATATTAATAATTTATCTTTTAACAATAAGTTAAAAGCATATTGTGATATCGGTCTTAAAGATCCAACATTTTTAAAGTGTTTTGGTATATCAAAAGATAAAACTTCTAAAGATTATGTTCTTGTTATGGAGTATGCTTCGAAAGGTTGTTTGCGCAAAAATCTACATGTTATATCACAAATGGATTGGAGAGATAAATTAAATCTGCTACAATGTATTGCATCGGATCTTCTAATAATTCATTCTCATGATCTTATTCATCGAGATTTACATAGTGGAAATATACTACAAAATAGTTTAAAAAGCGCATACATTGCAGATTTGGGACTTTCGATAACAGCAAATATTGCATTAAAATCAAAATCTAATGCAATTTATGGAGTTTTACCATACATTGCTCCTGAAGTTTTGAACAAACAACTATATACTAAAAAATCTGATATTTATTCATTTGGAATAATAATGTGGGAAATTTTATACGGCAAACCTGTTCCCTTTGAGCAGAAATCGGAATTACAATTTCAATTACAAGTATGTAATGGTTTCCGACCGTATATTTACGAAAATATAGCAACATGCTATGTAGATATGATGAAAAAATGTTGGAACATGGAGCCAGAAAGGCGACCAACTGCAAAAGAAATTTATGATATTTTTGCAGAATGGCAGAATAACGAAAATATTTTATCAGAATTATCAGATTCTGATAAAATACTACAAAGGATAAAAAATGAGGACACGGAGTTATATATTGATTCATGTTATAAAAGTAGCTTTATTTCATTTAATAGTAGTAATATATATCAAGGTAATTTAAATTTTGATTTTTAAAAATTATGTTATATAATTGCTTAAAAACCTTTTCCTATAGGTAGTAAATTGTTTGAAATGAAAATACCGGATATTATTGATTAATATAAGCAACTCTTTCAATTTTGGAACCGAAAATATAGAGGAAATATTAATCTGTTAATAAGAATTTAAATATTACTGATAAATTTTCATTCTTCTTATATAAAATTCGTAGATTAAAGTCTGAATTTTTCCAGTTACATCGATATCAATATTAAACAACTTGATAAATTTTGAATATGTAATTATCAATTAGACTTAATCTTGTGACATGTCGATCATACAATATTAATTAATAAAAATTTAAGCATAAATTTTGACCACCCTTTAATTTTTATAGAATTTTTATATAACTGTAATATATAAATAAATTATTCATTAAAGATTAGAGTTAGAATACACGCTATATTATGTTAGAGTGTAAATTATTTATATATAAAAATTAGTATTAACCCTTTTACCTAAGCTAGTTTTTTTGCAATAAAATTTTGCAATATTGATAATTTTATAATTTTTTTCTTAAAAATTTCTTTTTGTTACACAAGATCCTACGCAGTGATTGGGACCCACTCAACCCGGGTGACTTAAGATGGGCAAAATGGCATTTTTCTCTACCATACATGCGCATTGTATGCTACGTTATATACACTATTAGTTTAAATATTTAGCAGTAAATAACTTTAGTTTCACTGGTCCATTTTTAATGCTTTTACAATCAAAATGATAGTCTCGACGAGATGATTCCAACGAGCCCAAAATCATTAAAATACATAACATATATAACATATCTAATGTATCTATCAGATATAACATATCTAACAGATCCAACATATCTGACGGATCTAACAGATCTGACAGATATCCAGAAGATTCGACCTGAGCCACCTCAGCGACAATTTTGGACTACAACAAGTCAATCCTCCAAATTTAGATGCATCTGGTTCCCGATAATAAGAAAAGTTGATTTCAAGCCAGTGAGTTTAAGCCAATTGCTGACATTTTGTTTACATCAAGTAAAATAGGTGAAACTTTGGCACATCCTATTTTACCAGATATAAACAAACCATCAGTGATTGGCTTAAACTCACTGAGAATACCTGTCAGTCTACCCAGATCGACCTGATAGGGTACCTAGGTTGAACGGGTCCAATCACTAATTTTACGATCTAATTGGTAAATTTAACATTACCAGGAGGCAAGTTAGCAGCACTCAAATTTTAATTATATATCAATAATAAAAGCAGTAGCATAATTATAAGTATAATATAATGTTGCACAATACTTCTTTATTTTTACTTTTGCAAGAGCACTGTTGGATTAGCCTAAATTTAATTAACATTATTAATATTTAGCATCTTTAGTCTACATCAGATTCGGAAGTTTCGGATGATTAGGATTTGTATGCTCTAATTGCTAATTTATACATAAATCTTATGCAATTATATTGTAACCTATGAATTCCAGCCAACCGATAAGTCTCAAATAGGTGGTTTTAAAATGACAAGTATTTTGGCCTAGATAGAATTGGTTTTAATTTTGGTTAAGGTTATAGTTTAGGCCAGTCTTTTAATTATGGTAGACAAATGTCATCATGTTATGTTTTGATCACTGGGTTAACAATTCTTTAAGTGTGGAAATTCTACAAACTGAACTTAGGGACAGTGATTATATTAAAACCTACACTAATATATAACCAACAAATTGCGTGAATTTGCACTGTCCCAAGCACTGTCTGTAGAATTGAACTTCAAGTGTCACCTCGAATTCTTGTGTACAAGCTGCAGTATACATAATGCAGGCATAATTTCTACCGAAATTTTGACATGCGGCATTACCTAAAGCCAAAATTCGTGCCGCAACTAATACAATGCCTAAAATCAAAATTAATGTCATAAGTGCCGAAAGCAATAAGTTTAATTAATATATTACTAATTGATGCTAAGTGATATAATAAATATAATCGATAATAAACAAAGTATATTTTATTTAAATAATTCAATTTATAAAATTTTTATTATCCTTCATTTCACTACAAATTTGCAAGTTATATCTTCTAAATTACAACTGAACGACCACCAAAAGGGTTGTGCATAAATATTAGAAGCTATGGTATAAATGCAAGTGTAGTAATCTTTTGAAACGTAAAAAGCTGAAAGATTTAGAGATAATTTGTTACCTAATGTACGGAAGTTAATAACATTAATTCTGAAAACAAATTTGAAGACTATATAATGTCGATGCTTTGGTGGATTGCTTTAAGATTGAGCATTTTTAATAAGTAAATACAGTCGATACTGTCTAAATGTATTTATGTAGTATCAACCAATCAAATACCAGAAAATCGACTGTCTGAATGCATATTACTAATAAATTTATTTAAAAAATCATGCATTTAGCTGCAAATAAATTATATCTTTATTGTAAGTTCATATATGCATATTGATACTGTAGTACATTTAATAAGTATTACTAGAGATGGGAAAAATGCGCATTTATAATAACATGCAAATGAATGCGCATTAATGCGCACGTTATATAAAATGCGCATGATTATCGCATATTATAATTTTTTTTTGATTTTATATTTTCCCTCCGGAAAATATTGGATATTTGCCAAAATTTTCCCAGATCCTGCTCGTCTTTATGTTCATTCATTTTATTTTCGGAATTTTTCAAAACTTTTGCATTCCTATTTCTTAATTTTGCCTGGCATTATGAACTTGGCCTAAATTAAATATACTTTAATTTTCCTATATAAAATTTAGATGGGATAAAATGCGCATGATTCCGAATCATGCGCATGAATGCGCACTAATCGCACGATTGAGCATCTTTATTACATAAAATTAAATAATACTGAAATTATTTATTATTTAGGTTTTGCACATATTTAGATTTTGGAATTTATTTCAGATTGCGGCGTAAATAATGGCCTACAGCTTTACGTCTACCGAAAAATCGATGTTTAAATACTTTTGGTAGCCGCGAAAACTATTTTCTACGACGTACGTTGTGATGGGCGAATCTACCCGAAATAGGGCTGTGCTATTTCTATTTTTATATTTTATTTCATATTTTTTGCTATTTTCGGCAATAATTGCCATATGTAGTTAGTAGAAGGTGGGACGAAGATAAAAAAGACAAAAAAGATAAAAAGGATACAATAGATAAAATCGATTTAATTTTATCTTTTCTTAGTCTGTAAATCTTTAGTATATAAGACCTTGAGCTCACTTTCAATAAAGATAACTCAGAGTTGGCACAACCCACAGGAGTTCGACTCAACTAAGAGTCTATTATCCATCCTTTAACATTTCGCCTAATCACCTTCCCGATAAGCCAAATTCACCTATCATTAGTAGTTTAATCCCGTAAGAGCTTCGTGACGTAGTCTAGAGCTCTATTTGGCCCTAATAACTCGGACCAAGTCTTTCCACGCCCTCTTTCGTGCCTACCACTATTAGGGTTTGGTAGAGTTTAGTGGTTTTAGAGCGTTGATTTGGATTAGTTAGCCTTAGTTGATATCCATATCGCCGATTTTCCCGATTTGGATCAAGATTACCCTTTCACAACGTACTAGTACATATAAGCTGCATTTATCCGACGATCAAATACCTAATGTTAATCAATTCAATTCAATCTGTCACACTCTCAAAATTTGATAAGCTTGGTTAATGGGAATATTCGATTAATGAGATATATTCTATGAAAATTTTTTATAAATAAAGGATCTTTTTACCTCATAAAAATCATTATTGGGCTCACAAATAAACCGTTCCATCTAATGATTTACTTCCCAAAATTTTACTAACTGTTATTAGTAAGATCATAGTCTATCCGATAAGCTTTATCGCGAAGCGCCTCTTTCGATTGATTGTCTGGGTCTTCTGAAGTCCCGCTTCTCATGTTATAATATACAAACTTGGTAATTTTTGCATTTTTAACCTCTTGTGATTCCTTTATTACGTACCATCCCTTTTTATTAACAAATTTCTTTTTATTTATTTATTGTTACTATACACGTGATTTCTATAGCTATCTGGTATCGTTGTAACTCTTTCTCACAAATCTAATGTAACAGCTTAAAATAAGCTTTATGAGATGTAACATGTACCTTTAATAATTTTGATTTAATATATACTTGCTCCAAAATGTCAATTTATAATAATCAGTTTGTAGAAAAACCCGAAAAAATCAACAGCTCATCAGATACTACTCAAATAACCAACAATATTGCTCAATTGAATTTAGAAGATCAGTCACAGGATTTTTCACAGGACTTCTTAAATGAAATTATTGAAGAATGTATAAGATATATAACGAAGAAAGACTGAAAGGCCGGCAACTTCGTTTAATTTTTGATACATTAGAACAATTTTTAATAAAGAAAAAGCAAAATCCATTTAAAATTATTAAATTTTGCTTATATCATATTAATCATATAGCTCAGTTCTTTCTCGCAACTTGGTATTTGAGTGGTAAATGGGTTAAAAAAGATGAACATAAAGCATTTATTTACTTTCAAAAGTCTGCAGATATGAGTAATGCTATTGGAGCAACTGGTGTTGGATATTGCTATCAAGAAGGAATTGGAGTTGAAAAGGATAGACATATGGCATTCGTTTATTATCAAAAATCTGCAGAGATGGGTTATGCTCATGGAAAATATCAATGTGGCACTTGTTATCATTATGTAATTGGAGTTGAAAAGAATGAACATAAAGCATTCATTTATTATCAAAAATCTGCAAAGATGGGTTATGTCATTGGAATAAGTATGATTGGAAATTGTTATCATTATGGAATTGGAGTTGCAAAGGATGAGCGCAAAGCGTTCAGTTATTATAAAAAATTAGCAGAGATTGACAGCGTTTTTGGGATATCAAAGTTGCTGAATTTTATTGAAATGGTATCGGAGTAACAAGAGATTTACATAAAGCCAATTACTGGTATCAAAGGTAATTTTAATTTAAATTTATGTGGATGAATTATAACGCAACTAGTTTTTCGGCCTAAAACTGTTTTCAAGATCCTAAATGTTTTGGTTTTTGAGTTCATTTTCGCCCAAATTTGGAACTTCCGAAAGTGATAGAAACTGAAACAGGAAACCCACTTGCTAAACTTCTGGAACCTTCAAATCCGAACACACATTACAAATCTATTTCGAAACTTTTGGTCTCGGTAGGTCCCCGAAAAAATATATACAGAGGCTACTGTATATTGGCTTTATTTCGTATTCCGTTCCATAAAGTACCCGATATGACAAATAATGTAGATTAATTATTTATACATCATGTGACGTGTAATACACGTGGTTCAAATTTTTTTCAATTGTAAAAAAAATTGCATCACACTAAGTACTTTGGTGAACGGAATGCTGTAAACTCGTTTAAGTTTTAGAGATTTAGCATTTACCACCACCGGCGATATCACCGGTCCTAAGATTTTTTAGGGTTAGGGTTAGAAATTAGAGAATTATTGTTTTTTTTATATAATATATATAACTACTATAAGGGCCCGATCTCAGTTCTCGTGAGGTTTTTGGGGTCCTGAACATTTTTACTTAGAGGACCCGATCCCGTTTACTTAGTACGTTTTTGAGATATAGCAACACCGGTGATATCGCCGGTGGCGATAAATAGCAAAATCCTAAGTTTTATCCACTTTTTTTATTGGAGCCAATTAACCTTATAAACTATATCATTTTTATAATCTCTATTTATATTGTTCGGAGTCCTCTCAAAACCAATACATGGTGACAAATTTTTTATCAGTATTGAGAGGATATAAGATTTGAAAACATGGCAAACTCTAAATTTATATAGCAAAAATGAACTTAATAGAGCATTTTTTATAAAATTTACAGATTAACAATTTTGACGGGATCAGTTTTGGGAGATTCAACAGTATCAGGTATTGTCATAATAAATTTAATATATAATCTTGTTATTATTTATTTATAATCAAAATTGGCTGAGTTTTATAAAATATATTAGCTACAAACGAATCGATGTGTAACTCTGAACTTCTTGAAATTGAAGATGAGTTGAAGAAAATTTTGATTGATAGTAAAAATTATTTATCATGGATTCCTTACAATGAATTTAAGGATATTGAGGTGATAGATAAAGGTGGGTTTGCAACTGTATATTGTGCTAGATGGTATGATGAAGTTCAAAATTTAAACAGGATTGTTGCACTTAA